ACCCCCCCCCCCCCCCCTGCACCTCCAGGTGTCTTCTTCCTCTTCCTGCTGAGCAACACAGACCACCAGTGCGAGATCTTGAAGGCAACACGCTGTTTCGTTTGCTGCAAGTAGCAAGCCACATGCTTGATGCTCGTAACTGTAGGCTCTTCGACCGAGCAGAGCAGTGGTGCAGTGCAAAAACTCTGCGACCAAACAATCGCATCCTCGTCGTTCACCATGCCCTCGTCATCTGTTTCTTCCACGCACTCCTCCAATGCGCCTGGCAAACACTGGCATGCAACCTTTCAGCTACCTGAAGCTTTCGGCTCAGAGGTGTCACACGCGGCCCGGCTGTCCGGCCTCGTGCCTGAGCCTCGCCAGTTCTGGCAGAGGTCCGTGACTCCAACCTGTGTTTGACGACCGGACCTACGAGAACGTGCAAGTGTGTTTCATCTATGAAATCAATATCTACAGTATTTTGATTCATTAAGGCGTACGATGTGCTACTAGGCTGCAAACGCGGCCTGTTTTCGGAAAGACTTGAAGCGGATCCGAGGCTCGGGCCGAGGCTCGTTCGAGTCGGGTCGCCTCCGCCCAGCAGCTCTCAGCCAGTGATGGTGGGAAGCGGCCGTAAAAAAAAGGAAGCATATTTCTGATGGAGCAGGTTTCAATCAGCTTGCATCACCGACGTGATGAGCGAATGCGGCAGGAAAGAAAAAGCATAGGCACAGGAGGCCGCCTGGCCGTCGCAGCAACACTGGTGGCCGCGGAGGCGCCCGTCGCAGGCCGCGGGGAGCTTGGGCCTGCACTGCCTAAAGGCTCTCAGTACTGGCCGCTTTTTGGTACCAGGCCTGGCAAGGCCAGGGGCGCTTCGTCCGGCAGCTCGCCAGCCTCGAGTTCCTCACGACATGCGAGGCAGCATCAGTTTTGGGAGTCGCCACGTTTCGAACAAGAACAGATCTACCCGCCAATGCCTTGGATGTCCGAATCCACACTGCTCTGCTCCCACAAACCTCAACCCCTAGCCTATCCAGCCCTACCTTTTGCAGCCATCGGTGTAAGCAATCAATTCCAAGCTTGGTTGCCCTCCACGGCCACGCCTCTTCCAGTGATGTGTGGGCAAAAAGTTCCTCTGAGGGAGCTTCCTGATGGTGGGAAACGAAAAGACTCCAAGCACCCTACAAAAGCGGAGACGAGACCCTTGGAGCCTGACCTGTGGTGCAGGCTGGAAAGCGTGGCCTTCCCCCCGAAGATGACCTTCGGAGCTTGGAACGGTTTCCCTATCGACATCTCTCGAAAGCAACCGACCTATGCCGACAGATGTGACAATGGCCACGTTGCCATCTCCAGTGACCTCGAGAAGCCAAGTCAGAGCTGGTCCACACTACCAGCATGCACGGAAATCCACCATCGACAGTGGGTAAGTTGTAGTTGGTTCTGCTTCTACTTGCATGCAACATGCGTTTGCAGATCAGTTGGGACAAGCTCAGCTACACTAAGCTCGGGAGCAAGAGCACGGACTCACTCTTTTTGTCCACTCTTCCCTTCCGGACGGTGGCGAACTACAGTCTCGAGTTTGGGAGGTTGCGCTCTCGAAGTGCATAAGCACACGAAGAAAAAGGCTTCGCAGGAGGCGCGAGCGAACTAGCCGGCCTATGTAATTCCGGGTGGGGGAAGTGGGAGAAACGAATAAGCTACACTCGAACTGCACACGCCCGCCTCTGCTGCATTCACAGCAATCATTTCGATCTTCGCATGCTGGAGTGCTGGTTACGCAAGCCTGTCACTACGAACACACGAGTTCTGCGCGACAAGCTCAGCTATACTAAGCTTGGGTGCAAGAGCACGGACTCACTCTTTTTGTCCACTCTTCCCTTCCGGGCGGTGGCGAACTAAAGTCTCGCGCTTGGCTCGTAGCACTCTCTAACTGCTTAATACTGCACAAGCACACGAAGAAAGGCTTCACAGGAGGCCCGAACGAACTAGCCACCCTCAGCACGCCTCGAAGCCACCCTTTGCCCTCTAGCGAACTGTTTGCACAGCAACGCAGCTGAGCGAACTCTTCGTGGTAGTCCGTGTAGTCTGCTTGGAAGTTCACAAGTCAGATCTTCTCTTGAGATCCCGTCGGAGATGTTCTCCGAACTGGCCACTCTGTGGAACGACACTGAAAGCAACCTGGAAGCAGCCCAAACCCAAAAGGCTCCCATGACATCCGAGAGGCGCAAGTGCTTGGAGTAGCCCTTGTTGAAAGCGTGAATCGAACAGGTGGCTGATAGTCGCTATGGCCAAGATCTGGGCCATGGCTTCTCACCAGAAGATATACGTTCTCGAAGAGGCAAGATCTGCTTGAAAGTTGCCAATTCTCCGCGAAACCCACGCGCTTGCGACCCGGAATGGCCACCACTGCTCCGAACCCGGTGGTTGCTTGGCTGAATTCCTGCAGCGGGGTAGCTCTTCCTGCCACTTGTTGGCGCTCTTGCGATCGGCATAAAGATGCACGACCGGCTTGGCCCGTTCTACCGAACTGAAAGCAAAGCGCCGCGGCTGGAGCCGAGGCAAAAGGTGCAGCAGCTGGTGTAGTGGTTGCTTGACTCGTGGGGTCGGCGAACGGGGTCCTGGGTTCCCATGATGCTGCCTGAAGTGCAGTGGTTGCGAGAAGGAACGGCCAACACTACTGCACGCAAAACACAGCTTAGCTGTTAAGTGCTAGGCACTCTGCAGTGGACATGGGGTTGCTGTCCAGGTACCTTTGGGCCTTTGGATGGTTTGTACCAACCAGCTTCTGCATGCGCTTCCACCGACCCGAAGGGCGGTCTCCGGGCAAGACCAGCCCGCACTGGTCAACTGCCGAGAGGAGCGGCGGTTCTGCGAACTGGCTCGGACGCTCCAGTGCAGGTAACAGGTAAGGAGGACAGTCCGCTGTCCGCTGCCGCGACTGTTGTCGTGCTGGATAGCTGGAAAGCCTTCGGCGCTGAAGGGCTGCTGGCAAGCCAGGCGAAGCCAGAAGTTGTGAGAGAAGCGGTCCTTGCACACGGCCTAACTGCCTAACTCTCCTTCTCGTTGAATATCTCTGCGACTCCGACCATGATCGCAGTGTGTTCTCCCGACGCGGACGGCTGGGAGAGTCCTCGTGACAGGTCAGCGATTGCGTCCAAACAGTCCAACTTTGGAGTAGCGTGCGTCGTCTCTGTTTGTCCAGCCTGCACCTGGTGTCACCGGCCCAAGGAGCCTGAAGCCCCAAAACGGCCAAAACAGTTCCGACACCAACTCTTTGCGACCTGGAAACTGGCACAATTATAAAAGCCACACGAGCGGCAGCAGCTGAAACCTGAAGTTGGGCGACCCTTCCTTGTACATTGCGGCCGCGTGCACTGGCAGCGACTGCAGTACCTCTTGTTGGTCCTCGTGTAGCTCGGCGACCAACATCTCCAAGCCTTGCAAAACTGTCTAACTAATGAACACTGGTGATCTTTTGGCCTAGTTGCACCTGTACCTGAAAAGTCCACGACGACATGATGATGCCACCTGTCGAACAGCGAACTGTTGGGAGTGATTTCCTACGACCTGTTGAGTCGTCTCCAGCGAACTCGAACTTGCCCTGCCAGCAACGGTGGCCGTTCGCGAGCATTGTCTGTGGGAGGGTCGACTGCATTCGACCACCACAACCTCGGTCTCGAAATGACGCCCTGACTGGATGCATCACAAGCGAATGCTCTACATTGAAGCGACTGGTCGAACTCTTGTTGCAGTGACGAAAGCATCATCACGTTCTCCACCAGATAAAGAACTGTAAAGATTGAAGGCTGCATGGACAGCCCGAAGCATGCCAATGGCGTCCTCACCCGCCATAGGAACCAGCTCACCATTGAACATCGCCTGCATCTGCTTGGGCGTCGCCTTGAGCGGGACCTGGATCTTGGCGACCGGCTGCTCCGTAGTCTCTGTGGAGCTGGTTAGCGGCGGCCGCGGCTTAGCGACCTGATCTGCCATGGCTTTGGTTCTAGCAGCCGTGCTGGGCCCGGACCGACCTGCGTCGCCATTGTCTTCTTCACGACCTGTGGCTTTGGCGGCGTGCCCTTGGCCACGACCTTCGGGGCAGCTGGGGAAGCTGCCGAACTCCTGGAAGTCGATGTAGTCTGCACTTTCGGCTCGGCCTGGAGTGCCCGAAGAAATTCCTGTCGCCGCACTCGCCAAAGTCGAAGCAGAAGGCGGTGCGCGAACCGGGGCTGAGGCATTTGAACTGCCGAGTTATGTTTTTTTGAAGCTTCTTCTGCAAGACGACCAAGACCAAGCTCTCCAGATCGAACGTCTCCAGTAGAGGCTCCAGCTCCGCGAACTCCGCGTTCACCACCGTGTGGAAACTAGGTCTGGAGTTGCGTAATCACCGCCCAAAGTGCCTGGCATGGCTCACTGTTCTCCCAAAAGAAACGAAAAAGCTACACGCAAACTGCGTACTCGGGCCTCTGCTGTATTCACAACGAACACTTGGACCCTCGCATGCTGCAGTTCGCGTCACGCTAGCTTGCACTACGAACACACGTGTTCTGCACCGCAGGTGTATCTCCAAATACTGAAACTTCCTGTCAGAATCTGAAACAATCTACCCTACTGAGGCAGAGACGCCCCGGATAGCGCATCCACGTGGGGCATCCACCATCGCACTGGGGTTCACCGTCCAATCGTAGTAGCCTGCAGCGACTTGAGTCTTGAGAGTGTTTCAGGCTGGTTGCTTTGAAGCTACTCCGGCCTGCATGGTAGCGAGTGATGGCACGCAAATCTCCTTGGTCCAGGACCTGCCCAGCTACTGGCTTCAGGCTTGTGGATAATACATCAGAGGCTCACGGGCCTGAACGAGTCCCATCAATTGAGGAAATAGCTGGTTCTGTGATCCAAGTGGCGAAGACATGTCCTACCTGATACATCAACAGCTTATCGTATGCCTGCATTAGGAGCCGTCGCATCCTCTTCGAAAGGCAAGTACATGTTTCAGTCTGTTAACCGCATGTTGCAAGCCTCTCTGAAACTCTCTGCCAACTGTGGCTGGGATATGCTGTTACCGCAGACGGGGAGAATAACGGGACATAACAGACTCGTGCGTTGTTGGCTCCCTGCGCACTTCCTGTTTCCACTAAAGCTTGCGTTGACGACACTGTGTCACCCGTCCCCACTCGCGAGCTATGCGGAAACGGAAACTCCACGGTCCATAGCTGCCGCTAGGTTTCTGCAGCCGTACCCGAGAGGTCGAAGCTGTATTTTACATCGCTGAGCTTCTACTGAGATTCTACTGAAGCTTGGCATCCAGAACCACACGGCCTGGCTGTGCTCGTGCGGCACGTGCTCCAGGGCTTCTGGTCGATGCGACAAGCGCTCCTGAACATCTTCTCACTCCGGAGGCCGTCGAGCAGAGGGCTCAAGCACGGCTCCTCCACCCCCACCATGTCTGCTGCGAGGCCGCCGAGTACGCCCAGCGGCACGACCGGGGCACCTGGGCGAATGCAAGGCTCGGTGTGGCTCCGTGCTCCGGAGAACAAGTTGAAGAGGAGCAGTCCGGCTTCATCTTCAGGGCATGGTGGGGGTTTCGAACATGGCTCAACAAGGCTTCAAGATGCGATCAGGCAGGAGGTTGTAGGAAGCTGGGAAAACGTGACTGAAGTTGACTTCCGCCAGGAATCCGCGGAAGTCCATGACGGTTCGGCTCCTCAGGCAAACACTTCCACAGCGTCGGAAAAGAGATCTCGCATGCAGGCACATGCGCTGATGGGCCTCCTTCTCTTCGGCAGCTCCTGAAACAAGCAGAAAGAGCATGCTGCGGGGCCGCCCACTTAACATCCCAAAGTCTTCTGTTTTCCCCTGTACCCCACCTCGTCCACCAGCTTGACAATTTCGCTGCTGGGAGGCCGCTCGCCCAGCACATCCTGTGGGAAGGCGACATCGGGGCATCTCCGAGAGGTTTTTAGCTCAGAGCCTCATCTTCGGGGCTAAACCTGAGAGCTCAAGGCGGCCGTGGCTTTGCCGAGGCAAAGTTGCTCAGTCTCCGACCTATTGAGCTCTTGCAGGAGTAGCTCATCCATTTCCTGTGGCTGCTAGTCTTGAGACATGAGCCCTCATCCCTCATCGTGATTTGAACTTTATGAGTGGGGCCCGCGTCGCAGCCTGCGTGCTGCTCTTGGTGAATGCGCTGCTGCCAGTGGCTTTGGACCCTGGCAATCGTGCCAAAATATTTCAGAGACAAGAAAGTCGCCTTGCCCGACTCCCAAAGTCTCGGTAAGCTTGCACCGTGCGCCTTGAGAGCTGCGCATGGTGCTGTCGAGCGGTAGGGTGCCTTGCTCTTGCCGGCTTGGGGCAGGTACCTACCTCCAAACTCATGGAGCCAGCCTCCCAGCTTCTCGTGCTTGACACCACGTGCCCATACATCCATGGGAACCTGCATGGTAGAGCTCATGTTCTGTGAGGCTTCACTTTCCACTTCGAACCCCCTGGCACACGCTCCACGTGCGCGGCAAAACCGACAAGGACATCCCCATGGCCAGCGCTGGTGTCCATGTCTGGCCTGAGGTGAACACGGGCCGCGTCCCTCGCACGGGATTTGCGATGAATATGATGCATCTGGCATAAACGGCAAAGCAAAGTCGGTGTGAGCCCGTGGCAGCCGAAGGAAAGCCACAGTGGAGCACGGCTGTGGGAAGAAGACCTGAACAGCTGATGCCATGCACGTTCCGCTGCGAGAAGCGCACTGCACGGCCACCTCACGGAGAAGCTGGAGAGCCGAAGACCAGAACCGCACCGTGTCGTCCTCACCTACAGAGGTGCACCAAGAATCTATTGAAGAAAGGCACCACATCCCGCTGACACGGTAAAGCAACTGGCACAGGCTGCAGACTGATGTGAGATGTGTGACTCCCGCACAAAACAAAGCTGAAGTCTAGATGCCCTCAGCCGTGACCCTAAGCTCTGGACCGACAGAGACAAAGATCTCGATCGGTAGCAAATAGTCGACCTGCAAGCATCCGGACCGCAGACTTGCCAAGTTCAGGCGGCGATCTGCGCTTCCGGTATGCTTGGAATTGCAACACTTGCAAGCTGCAAAACTTGCTCCTGAATCTTGCGCGCCTGAAGAACGGGCCCTCCATGAGACGCCTGGGACGAAAACACCTGCAAATGCGACACAAGGCGCAGTTCGATCGGCAGCTTCTCTGCTCCAGCTAGCACATCGAAGCATGTCCGAAAGCTTCAGAAGTGCCTTCAACTACTTACATACGTCACACCACACACATGCAGAAAAGTGAATTTGCACAGAAGTCGCCGGCAACCATGCACCTCGACGTCAGGCGACGTCCACGGAAGCTCAACCTGTCTGATAAGCTTCAAACTTACTGTCCAACCCGAAGACATCACGACCTGTCACCACGACAAGAAAACTCTCGAGCACGGGTGACGACGCTCCATACAAGGCTTTTCCTGTGGCAGTTGGCTGCAAGGCACGGGCTCCAATGCAGGGAACCCCCTTGCCCGAGTTGCCGACACCCTTTCACATGGCGCAAGCCATTGGTTTTCACGAAAAAAATGGACTGGGCGCGTGGTTTGGGCAACCGGCACAGGTGCCCTGCACCAATATGCACCTTTTAAGACTCACTTCATGATTCATCACCCATCATAACCCCTTGCTTTCAAGCTCTGTGGACCCGGGCCATCTCCAAGGATCCGCGGGAGTTGCCCAAGGTCACCCCCAGCAGCTGCGGAGAGCTCGGAGGTGGCACCTGGACTTTCGGGACGGAGGGCAGAAGGAGTTTGTTGGCAGCAGGTAGGACGAGTCCTCAACATTTACTGCTTTTCGGGTGCCTCGCTGCTTACCCTACTACTGCTGCTATGCGTGCTACTGTCGCGGTCTGGCACTACTAGATTGCTAAAGCTGATTCGTGGCATGCTAGCCAACAACATACCACCGGTACCACTACGAGTATCACTATGCTGCTACGGCTGTAGTACACTAACACTGATTTTCGACGCCGTCTTGTTGTGGAGAGTTCAAGTAGACGGCATTCCGATTCCGATTGCGCCGCACCTCCGCCGCGCTCTCGACTTGGCCTTGGGCATCGCCTTCTGTGCTTCGCTGGTCCTCTCGGGTTCCCAGCTCCGAGGAAACCCAAGTCCAAAGCTCTTTCACCCGAGGCCTCCGTGGCTGGGTCCACGAGCACGATGTATGGAGTCAAACACGAAAATTCTGGAAGAACTGGGCACACATGAAGGTGCGAAGAGACATTGCAACAGAACCATGTGCTGAAGCTGATCTTGGTCCGAAAGTGTTTCTACTCGGCTCTGAGACCTCTACAAGGGTGCTAACAGGCGCCCGGCGCAAGCGAAACAGGATTCGGCTGTCTTCCGCCTGGTGCAGTTGTGAGATGAAGCAAAAGGGAACAAAAGTGGCCGGTTCCGACCGCCTGACAAACTTTCAAGCCGTTCTTCGCGTCGATGGTCAGAATCAGGTCGGCCATGGATTTTACGAAGTCGATGGAATAGTCGTGTCGCCTCTGAAACAAGCGTCAACCAACCAACCTCTCTTCGCTGCGCTTTGCGTGGCGGGCCTCCAGCGGCTGTAGAGTTTCAGCTGCGGTCCACTGGGTGGAAAGGGCCGCTGCCCCGGAGTCTGAGGAAAGGAGAGGCAAAAGCGGGCTTTGTCTAAGGCTCAGGGAGCCGCTTAGGGCACCGGCCCTCGAGGCCTCCATGGCAGCCTCATGCTCCTGGCACGATCTTCCCTGCTCATCGCTGCTCTTTCCGGAACTGTTTGCAAGGTACATGACATGGCACTTCCTTGTTCTCTGATTGGAAACTGCAATCCGCAGTCCTTTTCGATTTCTGCGAGGCGTCCGTCAGCCTCCTTTATTGCCCCCTTGAGGACTGACGCCCGCATGGTCTTGGCACGTCCGGGACCTAGACGGGAAAGAACAGCAGTCTACATAGGAGTATCAAGCGTGTGAACAACGTTCCCGCTTCGCTGATGTCTGGCGGATGCTGCACAGCTTGTGTGAATGCTAAATTGACTGCTAAACTGGCTAAACTGCTAAACACTCACAACTGTGACAGACATCATGGGAAGCGCCGTCTCAGGGCGCATGACATCCAAAGTCACCACTGTCACAGCTGACTAAACCACCGCTGCTGGTTGAACCCATGGCTCCCATGGCCACATCCTACTAAATCTTCAGGTGTGTTCTTGAAGCTCTGGGTGGGGTGGCGGTTGCAGCAGTGGTGGTGGTGGTGGTGGTGGTGGTGGGTTCTGTGCCATCAAGCGCCTGACTTCGCCGCGTGTGCTCCTTGTTCGGCAGGTGTGGTGCAAGCCTGGTCGACGTCGGACTCTTAAGTGTGCCGAGACCCACGAGCCACATCCGGAGCCTACCCCACACGGGCAATTGCATCAGGAGGTCCGCAATCTTGAAGGCCTGCCAGAGTCATTGGGCATCGGACAGGGACTGTGCAGAGTGAAACCCTTTGCTGCATCGCGCCTGTAAAGTGCCCATCTGTGTACCCACTAGCAGGTACCAGTCCCGCCTAAGCTGAGAAAGCGGCTAGGCCACGGCCCTAAGGGCATCTCGCTCCATGGACTTGAACTCACGGGAGCGACATTTTTTGTCTGTCCAGGCCCAGGCGTTTGAAACCGAAACCTCGTCTGCGGCCGGGTGCGCAGTGGCTTCATAAACAGGCAACCTCTAACAACAGCACTAGCCCCCCCCCGGCCCCGAGCTCCTGCTTTGCACGGCGTTGTCACTAGAAGTTCTCTCGGGCTGACTTCAGGTGGACCAACCCTTACAAGCACTATGATAATCAACCTCACAGCCGTGGCAGCTTCTGGAACAAACGTGCCGTCTACTGCCACTCCTTGTCGTTAATCCTAATGCTTTGCATGAGCAGCCTTCCCGGCTTTCACCAGCGTGCCAAACTGCGAAGGATCCACTTTGACGCCGGTTCTCAGATGCCAGACGGACCGGCTTGGCATGGCACCAACAGAAAAAAGAAATTGCCAGACTTACAAACTGAAGTCTTGAAGTTCATGCACAACGCGGCACATGCTAAGGCTCTGATGTGATAACTCTCCTGAAGCACCGCTGCACTTGCAGGCAAGATGCATTGATGACACGAACAGCATGCCACCTTGTCAGGCGCGTCTTGTGTCTTGTGACTGAGGTCTACTGTAACACGCCGCTCAAATACCAAAAGTCCTGCTTAGAAGAAAACCTGGAAACACAGGTCGTCTCGTTAACTTGAACGCTGTTCCAGATGATTACGTGTTGCAGGAATGCGAAAGCTTCGAGGAACATGACGCAGCCCGAGACGGCTTAAGGGGTGTGAATGCAGGTGGCCTGTCTAGACTCTGGCTTGGATCATGTCTCGAAACCCTATCTGCACCAGGCCACCCCAGAGGAAGGCGATCGTGAGGACAACCTCCGGCAAGCTCTCGTCTCACACTGACGCTGACTACCGATTACGACCAGATGGATCTTTCTCTTAGCAGTGTATGGACATCACACGCAAGGCCCTGCTTGGACTCTCCGTTCCGGAAGCCGTCATCATGAAGTGCGCTCGGGCGTCAGAGCCGAGGGACGTTCAGCAGCAAAACAACAAGTCCGACAGCCATCCAGCGCTTGCAGCTGAGCTTCTCCTGCTGGTTTAGTGTTGAATTTGCAACTTGAATTTGAGCGGAGCTTCTCTTCGCACTTCCATTTTGGGTGTAGCATAAGGATAAGATAGGGGGTTGTACTGCAACGCAAGGTCATTCCACAGATTTATCTGGCACTCGGGACCGGGAGATAAGAACCCTAGGCTTGACCCCAAGGTTCAGTTATTCGCGAGCAGAGATAGGATCGCCAAAATCGATGGACATGTTGACGGGGACAGGTTGGATAAAACTCCAGGGCCCTCCTTGTGCTATTGTTTCTAGATTCTAGCACTATTGACTTCCGTCTGAGCAAGAATTGGGGTTTTCAGGGCCCTCATCAAGCAAGATTAGCAAATGCATCCCCCGTATAAAGCTCTAGGGCCTGAGGACAAACAAAGCCTTGGAATAGAAAAAACTGCCCATCATTCCAACCCATAGCTCAGATAAAACTCTAAGACCCAACCCCGGCGAGTGAGGCAGAGGAAGCGGATAAAGATAAAGTCTTCGGCTTGACCCCTGGAGTTTCATCCAGGCAGTACACCCCCCCTTGAATAAGCACGACGTGCGTCGCATCCCGGCAATTCCGAACTTGTCAAGACCCAACTGCCGGCACATGTGAAAAGCTTTTAGACTGATGTCACAGTGCACAAAACAGTCCTGAAGCCAATTGACCATATTGTCAAACGGCTTCGAAATAGCCAGGGCGATGCTGATTCGAACTGGCCGAACTATGTTGCTTATCACCTGTGCTGTCATCACAGGTTCAAGAGCATGTGGAATGGGAATACACGACAAGATACGCAACGAGATGCAGCAAGGAAGCCCACACATAAGTGAAAGCAACAAGTCTGAGTACTGCCACGGAACTTCGTCCGAACTCTGACTTGTCGTGTCATACTCTATTCATCTCCCGGACACAGAGACCCCGCTGGCGACCAAAGGCACGTAGAGTCCGGCCCACGTAATGCCAAACTGTTTGAGGGCCACCTAAGCCCAAACGAAGCCAAGAGCAAGCTTTTCTACTAGAAGCCAGGGCCGTATGACTTCGGCTAGGTACGGTTGCTCTGTTGTAGATGGTCGTACACAAGGAAGTGGACATAATTCGGAATGAGGAGCAACAGATCAAGTGACATACTCGCATGCGGCATAACTTCCCGTGTCTGCAGCGTTTCTGCAGCTGGGGTCGTGCACCGGGCTGGCCAGAGGGCTGGCGCCTGTCGCCACGATCGAGCGATAGGTGGCCAAGAGGATCCTCAAAGAAGCAGCGGGAGGACGAAACCGAACGAAGAGTTTAAAAGCTGGGCATGACGACTTGAGCATCGTCACGCAGCATCATCAACTGAGTGGGTTCGATACACAATAGCTCCCAAATCCGAGAGTTCAGATGTTGCCGCAGAGAGGCCAATTCAATGCAAATCACTGAAAGAGAAGCTTGAAAAGCAGAGCTTTGCACAACAGAAGCTGGCTACCGATGCAAACTCTCGGCATACAAGGCATTGAAGCAGCTGACAGCAAAAACACATCCACGAAAGACGCACAACCATGGAAAAGAAGAGAAGTCTTTGATGATAGCTGTTAAGCCAAAACAGTCGTGCGGCATGCATGAAAATGTCAAAATCACAAAGACTGCCTACTTTGTGTGGCCATCCTTCCAGAACAGAACCTCCGGAAAAAGGGTTATCCGTCGAATGCACACTTCGGCCCAGGCGCAGAAGCAAAGCATTCACATTCGACACGAAGCCGTACGACAGCAGGCACCTTGTCATCAGCTCTCTCGTGACTGCAGTATTCCCCAGAGCTTGCATCTTGGCTTGGGATTTCGGACAAAGAAAAAGCTGAAGGTTGGCAAAGGCACATGAGCCCCATCTTGCGCAGAGACTTGGAGTCCATCTTGGCATTCCTGATTTCGAGGCGCAGGGCTGCTCAGACTGATGGGAAGCCGGAAGAGAAACCCCCAGACAACAGCGATCCAACAGCCAAGGGTCTTTTGCCACCAGCGCTTGAACCGCGCACCCAGTGATTTGTCTTCCTCCGAAGTGCTGCTGCTCGCCTCGCAAGCTTGCTTGACAGCTTTGCAGGCTGACAGTAAATGCTACAAGACAATTGAAAGAAAGCCGCTACGATGCTCCCCGAAGACCGTGTGCATCATGCAGAAAGAGGTTGCTTAAGACACAGGCTTGGGCCTTGAGATGAGCCTTGTCGACATTCCCGAGTGTTCTCCGGCCTCGCTGTCGCTGCCCTCAGCTCGGCGGCGGCACCGTGCGGCGACGCTCGCCGCTGCACCGCCACAGAGGGCAGCTGCAGCACTAGGCTGGCGCCTGCCGGGTCGGGGTACAAGTATGTTCAGCCTTTCAGCTCGGATCAGCTCGGGTCTCTCAAAGGCCGGCAGGTGCCTGCCATGAGCGTCAGTTCCTTGCCATCTTTGTCGCCGTGCCGGAAGCACTGGCGGCGCCTGCGCCTGATTTTGCAACATTGAACCTTCAAGTCGAGCGCCACGAAGGCCATGGTAAACCCCAAGAGAAGTCCTCAGGCTGCGACCCCAAGATGTTGCACAGAAAAGCCCGGGCATGCCACAGCCATCTTGAGCCACTGATGCTTCAGAGCGACACGAAGATGAAGCCGTAAGCAAAGACCTTCTGAGCTGCGACTGTGGACCGAGTCACAAACCCTGTCGGCGCCGTCTGTTTGGGTATATGCCTCCACTCAGGGATGCTTGCTCGGCCCCTGGCCTCTTACTGCGAGAGACTGCCAGGCCTTCGCGGCGAGGCCGGAGACGAATCCTCCTCGAGGACCTGCTGGGCCACCTGCGAAACTGCGATGCATGGTCGAAAGTGAGACAATCCTGGCCCCCATGTTGCACTTCCACTACAAAAGCTAGCGGCTTTTGCAGCCGTAGATAATGGGAAGTGCAGGACTGTTCTGGAAGGACAGCAAACAGGGAGACACCTGCCTTGTTGTGCTAGCTGCACGTTACAGGAGGCCATCCTAATCGAAAGGATTTCATCGATTGCGCAGGGTCAGGTCGGCTTCTATCCGAATCCGAAACTGCGCAGCTTCGCAGGCAGAGACTCCGCACAGAACGAGCATGAAGCAACACGGTGCAAAGCTCACACCACCTGGAGCCTACTGCCGGCGGGCATGCCAGCTGGCCTTCACGGTGTGGAGCAGTGTGTCCCCCTTGGGAAGCCTGACATCCACATTCATCTCTGGTTGCGAAGTGAGCATCTTCACCACAAGCTCAGCCGAGGAACGGCCCATGGTAGAGGGAAACGCATCGGAATGACTCCTTGGACAAGTCCTGCACGTGACTGCGGTTCTTTGCCCTTCAGTCTTCATGGCCAGTGTACCAGCTGCTGCTTGCTGCACCGCTTTGATTCAGGCATCCTTGTCCATCATCTGCGTCCGCACCTTGTCACACTTACTCCAAGGCCGCTTAAACAAGTCCAGAAGTGTGAGAAATCCAGGCTGTCGACCCTGGCCCATCTTGCCTCCACGATGCTGAAGCGCCGCAGCAGCAGTGGCGTGGCAGCCTGCGTCCGTGGAATCGGCTGCTCCTGGACGCACATCGTGATGGACGTCACATGGGCTGCGTGGCATTGGAGTCCAGATTTGTCACACACACACACACACACCATGCTGTGGAACCACAGGCGCTGCACGAGTGAGATTACACCTTGGCGTCAGAACTACACATTCGCACGGTCACAGTATAACGAGGAAATAAGCTTGTTTCGACGAAGCATCACTCATAGCATAAGGAGAAGAGGCAAGTGTTGAGAAGGTGACACCACGACGATGCAAACGGCAGGCTCGAAAGGAGCAGCTAGCAATTTCAGGCTATTACTGTAATTGTGCTCGTCGGTCCAATGGAAGCAAATAGAAAAACCCTGGCTGAGGAGCCGCTAAGGAATCGTACAACACTGCAGAAGGTCAAGATTCGCTTCAGACGGTGGACTCCATCCATGGTCACTTCAGCATCGCTTCACATCACTTCACCAAAGACGCAAGCACGTCATTGAGGCCACACGGCCAGCGCCTCAGCTTTGCTCTTCTCCAGGGGTGCCGAGGGCACGTAGAAGATGGCCACCTCTCCAAAAGCAGAGTCGAGCAAAAAAGGATCCCGACAAGAACAGCGACTGCCTCTTCCGAGCTCAGCCATAGGATAAGCAGCTGCCACTCCTTGGATTGGGCCAAGATGCGCCAAGTCGGTTCTGGTTTGGTTGTGCTCGAAAGGTACACAATAAGCTCGAAAATAGTTAGCTCTTTGCAGCGTAGACTACAGTACACCGTAATTTCCCTGCCGAGGCCAACGCGGGACATAGGAACACCTCAAGCACTTGGACCTGCAGCCAAGACTGGCTTTTCAGTAGGTAAACAAAAAGAGCCAGGACACCGCACAACCCAAATTTGCATCATCTGAGAAATTGTCGACACTCTTCCAAGGCTGACGCCTTTGCATTGGGAGGAGGGGGCAGCGTGGAAAGCAGCGCACGTGATTTCGCCGAGAACACGCGGATGGCCATGTCCTGCCAGCATGTCATCAAGTGAGCATCTGAAGAGTCGTCTGCAGCCTCTGCTTGGGCATGTCGTCATGTCAGACTTGCAGCAGAGCTTTGCGGATGGCCTCCGAAACAAGGACAGCTGCGCTGGAAAGAGGGGGGCTGCCCTGCCATGCACGCCGCATCGTTCCCCAGATCAAGAAAAGAGGGCGATTTGTCGGAACTGGCTGATCTTCTGACTACCACGGGAAACTCCAGGTATCTGGTAGCACACAAGTTGTGGCCTTGTGCTGCCGAACACCCCATGGGCAGCGAGCTTTGCATGAGCAGAGCTTACAGCAGCATCTGTCAGGCCTGCTTTGGTGGGACCTGCTTCGCAGGCTGTTCGCGCAACCTTTGGGCTTCCGGGGTCTTGTCATGCTGGACTCGGCCCTACAGCAGTCGAATGCTTGCGGTATTTGGACTGTCCAGAACATGCCAAATGACAGGAGCTGCAGAAGCTTTAAAAACTCTGGCGCGACTGCATCTACATGAATGCAGCATTCAAAGCAGGCTGTGCTGCTGGCGCATCCTGAATCTGGAACGCAGGGGCTTGCGCGATTTGGACCTGGGCGTACAAAGCGCAGGGATATTCGGAACGCCCGACGCGAGCGCGACCTTCACAGTCAGATGCTGGAAGCCAGCTCTTTGATTCTGCGTTGGACAGCCTATGGACACTGTGTTTGGCGGCATCAGCGTATTGTAGGCTGCAGGCTCCTTCGGCGACTGGACTAGGGTACAACACCATTGGGATTGGCAACAGAGCTCATGGCAGTGTTCGACATAATAACATGCTCCAATTCCACGTGACACTAGAGGAAGTCCGCCAATCTAGACCCCAAGCTGTTTATCAAACCTTAATATGGCAGCTCAGAGCTTCCATCCTTCACAATTATACAGCGTTCAGGCTCCTGAGTGAATCACTGGGGTTTGTGGAGGTTCGTCACATGAGACTTCAGATTGGGATTGAACAGTTGATTCTCAATTACTCGAAACTGCATCCTATGGATCTTTTGCAGGGGAGGAAGAGCCTTTCTGTTCAAATTCCTTCACATGGTTCTGTGGCAATGCCTCGTGGAACAGCAGGAATAGACCTGCGAGGCATCTATGGCATGCACTTGCAACATGAATCAATGGCGTCACTCCGTCTTGGAGTTCCGCTGGAAGCGGCTCGGGGGCGCATCCCTTTTAGGGAGCGGCTCCGGAATGTTCAGCGACACCACAATCACCGCTGCGTTGTCGGCCTTGGTGACCTTACCGGCTGCTTCCAGCACGGCTTTTGCGGCTCCTTCTGCAGATTTGGTCTCTCGCAGGATCTTCCGAGCGGTGGTGATGGCAAGCTGTTCGCGTAAGCCGTCCCAGACTCCGTCTGTGGCCAGGATGACGAACTCTGTCGTCTTCTTAACTTCGATTCTGGTCACCTCGGGCGTGTTGCTGAGACCCAGGATCTTCTGTCCCGTCTTGTCCACAATGTCCCCAAGGGCACGAGAGACTTGCACCTTGCCATCCACGTAACCCCCCTCGATGCAGACGCCGAGCTTCTCCAGGCGCTGCTTCTCCTGGTCATTCTTTTCTGGATGGTGGTCTCGTGTACTTGTGCCCACCTTTCCATTCTCACATACAACTGCCCTGCAGTCCCCCAGGTTCAAAAGGACGAGCTCGCCTTCCTGAAGGAGCGCAATGCATGCAACTGTCCCGGACGAAGTGCCGGCTGTCAACACTTTAGCTTCCTCTGCCAGCTGCTTCTGCATTAGCTCGTCCATTGCTGCGAAAGCTTGATGGGCTGCCTTCTCCTTGTTGCTCTCTTGTTCAAGGTGCTTTTCCAGTTGCAGTGGCAGGAACTGCTTGGCAAGCACAGTGGCCTTGTCGCCTCCGTGCCCGTCGAACACAGCAAAGCAGGCGTGTCCCGCAACTTTGTCGCTGATGGCAACGGCGTCCTCCATCCGGCCACGGTCATTCTTCGCGAGGGCAAACCCGTGCTGCGAATTTCCACCCGAGGCATAGTCTGGCAGCAAGGATGGATCTTTGTCTCGTGCCCCACAACACTGGCACACGTTGCCCATGGCTCTCACACAGGTCTCACAAATATTTGGACTATGCAACTGCCTTAGTTCCCATGTACTCCACGTGCCTTCCATGATTTTGCTGTAAAGCAAGCAAGGTCTGCAGTCGCATGCTGCGAACACAAAGGACACGGTTGTCAGGCGTTTCTTTGATCGTGTGGCTGCTTCGTCTTTCCCGGAAATGGTGCCTCTACAGTATGCCCCAGCACCACTTTCGCAAGTGCTGCAGCCAGTCGACAATAGAACGGCATGCGTGCAGTGATTGGGTTCAGGTCGGGCTGGTGTTGGTGAGGTCAGAACAAACAGACGACTCGCATGATCGATTCTGGGGTCAGCTTTATAGGCTGCTTTGCTTGGTCTTGGGCATCACCCTCAGCTGGATTTTGTTCTTTACTATGGCCGCAGCCCGTAACTCGAAAATCGCCTTGCGCTTCGCCCTTGCACGCTCTTGCGCGCACACGGTTTTGAGCACATTCTCAACTCCTAGGCTTTGCAGCTTCTTACACCTGCTTATCGCCATTGCGCTTGCCCTTGCGCGCTTCTTGCGCGCCGTACTGGTTTTGAAGCATGTCCTAAACCTGCATCAAGATATTAAACTGCCCTGTTAGTCAACGGTCACGAGCCGGGGGTTTCGAACAACTCTCAGTTCGAGGTCAAAACAATGCAGGTGTGGCGGGAAGGGCCGCTACTCTCAGCATCCCCTCTGATGCAAAACACAAACTCGGCTCCGAGCCACAGTGCCACAAGTTGTTGCAAATGGCGATGCATAGTGTGCCTCGCCAGCATGAAGTCCAAAGGTAAGATGGACTGAAAGACTGCCGGTAAGCAGAGCCTAACATGCACCCTAGGTCCTGAAGTGATGGACACTACGGTGTGTCCACCCGACAGCTGCGCTGCCCATCTCACGTATCCAATAATGGGGGCGACCAAATCCTTGAACACATAGTGAGTAAGCCCTGCATCAACATCGACGACATCACACCGTCCAATGTCACAGCATGTCACAGCATGGCAGAACGGCCGTAGTCGGACCAAAAACACAATTTACTGTGGCAGCAGCAGTCAGTAGCAGACCAGGTTGAAAGACGCTTTTCCTTTGATTTGCTCAAGTCTCAGAACGAAGTCCGAGGAGTTCCTGGCTCAGTCCCGCAGTGGTCACGGCCTTCCTCAGACACGAAGTGGGCGGTGTGGAAACTTCGACGCATCTTTGACACGTTTGCTGTCACGGCGGAGGCGCCATCAGATGAGGCTCTGCAGTGAGAGACAGCTTTGCAAAGCTTCTTGCAGCTGGGTCTCTTGAACTCCGAACTGCTGGCGAGTTGATCAAAGCCATCGAAGGCGCGGTCCTCCACCTCACAGGAGATGATCTGCGGATGCTTTTTGCTGGAGCTGGGGCCCGGCCTGCCATGGACCCTGCAAGTTGCACGTCTTCCACGGCCAGGACCTCAGGCTGACGCTTGGAAGACAACTGAGGTGCGCTGCGTGCGGTTCTGGGCAAAGGCACTGAATCTGGCTCGTGTATTTCGCGACGATCCTGAGATGTCAAGCTTGGCCTTTTCAATCCTTTCGGAACTTGTATGGTCAAACGTTGGCCCCTGCATACGACCCTACGAAGAGCTGTGACAATGTGCATAAACATGAAGGCTCGTTCACTGACGCTCCACTTTTCACTGCCTGGGACAAGCCGGTAAGGTGCTGTCGTCCGACCCGTGCGAGCTGTAAGTTTCCAGCAGCTGCTTCGCAGAGTCTCAAAAGAAAAGCTCTTGCAGCTGCTCCCACAGAAACTTCAAAAGGTCTCACGAGCTCTTCCACGGCTCCCGGGTGGGAGGGTGGGAGCCAACAAACTGCGGAGCTGAAGTTCACATCGCCCTCATGCATGTACATGAAGGCTCGTTCACTGACGCTGCACTTTTCACTGCCTGGGACAAGCCGGTAAGGTGCTGTCGTCCGACCCGTGCGAGCTGTAAGTTTCCAGCAGCTGCTTCGCAGAGTCTCAAAAGAAAAGCTCTTGCAGCTGCTCCCACAGAAACTTCAAAAGGTCTCACGAGCTCTTCCGCCCAGCTCCAGCAGCCACAACGGTCGAAGAAGTTGGCGATGCCCTCGACGCCGCTAGGCAGAGTACAGCCGCAGTTGGATGTCGCACAGACTGGCAGCTGCAGCTATCTTTTTGAGTGCCGCAGCAGGAAGCGATGGCAGAACGCTTGCTGCTGCAGCCTCCTGTAGGTAGCTTTCCAGAGTAGCCTGAGAACGCAGTCGCATGCATCATGTATCGGCGTGTTCAGCTGATACAGAAAGACTGCGCCACCACCGCGCAGCCCTCCTGGAGTCAGCTTTGCGTACCGCGGTATGCCGAGGGCCTGCAGGATGGTCTCCCATCGCCTACGGAACGTAGAGGCAGTAGCCGAGAAGATTCGCTCCTCCAAAGGGCGGCCACCCAGCAACCGCGAAAGGAAGTCCACGAAGACAGCCTGCCTGACCACAAAGTGTTGAACCCTGCCAGTGCCACGGTGAGCTGACTTCTGCGCTTCGACCCGGACGTAACACGTAGGCAAGTCGTCGAGCAGGAGGTCCTGGGGAAGCAGAACTGCAGAGCGCTTGGCCAGCAAGGGCTCTCCCACACGAGCCGTCCCGTAAAAGGACAACCCCACCACGGCAGCGAAGCGAGGCCATCCAAAGCCCAAGGCAACGGAGATTACTGCTTTAGCCAAAGCGTGCGGAATCGGAGTTCGGTGAGCCGTTGGGCACACTCGTTCCCATCTGGTCACCAAATCCCAACAAAGAGGCATGTATGGCCGTAGCAGCAAATTCTCCTTCTGAAAGTAGGCGCAGATGTGCCGCCATTTGTAAGAGGCTGTCCAGAGCAAAACAGAAAATTCCCGTAAGCTCGCAACACAGTGCAGAAGGCCATGGCGCAACCCTCGAAGCTACGAACTGCCGGTGCCGAGAAGTTAGCCCCAAGCCACACCCCGAAGTCAGCCAAGAGACGCGTCTGAAGGGCTCGAGTCCGCTGGCTCACTAACTGGATCTCTTCGAGGTTGGCAAGCTCAGGGCCGGGATTCTTGGCTTCTCCGATTCGGTGGCCTTGGCTCCTGCAGATGTCACTTGCACTGACATGCCTGCGATCAGCAGGCCGCCGGCACGCCTCACCCAGAGCAGCCGAAAGCAAAAGGTTCAGCTTCCTGGGGTAATGCTCCGCCGCCTTGGTCATCATCATCCCTAATTCCTTGCTGTAGCCACTGAGCCTTCGGTGAGGTGTGGTGCACTCACACAACAAACGCTGGCCTTGCAGGGAAGTCGAGGTGAACACTTTTGTCCGCTTGCGCCAAGGGGCCCCGCACCTGCAGAAGTCAACGAGGAAGAAACCTGCAGCATCTCCAGCCTCGTTGATGAACTGTTGCCAGGAAGGTTGGGCCCAAAGGAAAGAGCAAGCCGGATTCTCGACCCAAAAGGCTGTTTTCGTAGCCAAAGACGCAGCTGCCACAGCTGCAGTGAAGTCGGCGTGGTTGTTGCCATCCGCGACCCGCTCTCGCATTGCCGGCCTGCAGTTGGGCAGCCCTTGGGGCCAAGCTGTCGAACGCACTGCCGGCCGAACAGCCCGGCTCATGCTCGAACAAACTGGTGCAGCTCCAACTCCAAAGAAAGCGCCCGACGAGAGGAGATCCAGGATGAACTCCTGTAGCCTGGGGCAGCGCAGGTCCTCAGCAGCGTCTCGGCGGAGTTCGTAAGTGAGAACCCAGCAGCCTGTCGCCTTAGCCAGAGCTCGAGCCACTCCAAACGAGCCGCTGTACAGGTCCAAGAAGCCCTTCTGAGAAAGGTCCAAAGTGCCCCCCCGTGCCACCACAAACTGCCCAGCGGGAACAGAAAGCAACTTCTCAGTCACAGCCGCCGGCAGCAGAGAGCGAAAACCCGACGGAGCAGCAGCAGCAAGAGGGGGTCTGGTCTGCGGAGGTCGTTGCCACCAGTCTCGCCGAGCCTGCCTTCGAGAAGAGGCTGGAGAACGAAGAACTCCGAGCTCTGCCACCGAAGGGAGCTCAAGAGCTTCCTCAGGCAAAGCAGCGCACTCAGCCAGCCAGTCGTCGAGCCCGACAAAGTCGCCCTCGCAGGCAGCGCTCCACCAGTCTGGCGCCTCCTTGGCCGGCTTTCGCAGAGGTACGTTCCTTGTCCCATCATCTGCTGGATTCTCAGCGGAAGCGAAATAGAGCAGCCCCAGGTAGCTATCGTATCCCAGGTGCACAGCCAAGCTCTTACGAAGCTCGCGGTTGATGGCATCGCTGCTCGACCGGCCTTTGCCAAGAGCTCCAAGGGCGACCTGGCTATCAAGAGCCAGATTTACCCGACTGCAAGGATGCCGACGAGCATGCCGAGCCTCAGCATGTAAAGCAGCGCGCACCTCAGAGATGTTGATGTGACGGCCTGGCTTGCAAGGTCGCCGCCACGGTTCGCCAAAGGGCAGAGTTCGCGCCAGCTCCGACCAAAGAGGGTGTGCCTTAACCTCGTTCTCTGGCAGTTCCTCACTGGTGGGTAACACTCCAGCTGCACGGTCACGAGCCGCCAGGGGGCGAAGAAGTCGGTTCCACAGGGGCTTGACCAGCGAGTGCCTGAAGAGCTCCTTCGCAAAAGGTTCCCCAACAACGGTCTCGACACCAGCCTCCCACTCCAGCGACGCGTCGGAGGCCAAAAGCAGAGGAGAGTGCCTGGCCCTCAAGTTCGTAGCTGCCGTCGCCACCAAAAGAGCTGCCACGCAAAGTTCGTCCCGCAGTCTGTCGCTCAGCGAGAAAACCAAGTCACGGGGGAGCCCACGGCCTTCCGAGTAGACGAGGTCAAGAAGGCAAAGGAGCCGACGCCGAAACGAGAAAAGCGAGACCAGGCTGCCAGCGATGACGTCCAAGAGGGCCCGCGTCGCCAATCCGATTCGGCTGACCTCCAAAACGTAGCTCATCACCGGCAGCGCCCGTGAAGGAAGAGCCCGCACATCTCTAGATTCCCCGTTCACCGAGGCCCCCCAAAAGCTCGCCTTTGTCACATTCTCGAAAGCCTTTTTCTCGCTACGCTCTAGCCCGGCCTCCTTGTAACTGGCGCGCATTGAGGAAACCACATGCTTTGAACGCTTTGGGACCCCAGAGCCCTTCTGCCGCTTCTCTAGACAAACAAAGTCATCTATGCATATCCCGGCACAAAATCCCCCTCGAGCCGGGCGGCTGTCCAGCGTTATCAGCTCGTTGAGAGAAATATCAGTGCAACTCAACAGGATAGACAGATGGGCTGTTTGGCCGTAGGTAACGGCGTTGCGGTCGCCCATTGCTAAGGTGTTCAGCGCTGCATAGTAACGCCCATGCCCAGCCTCGGCAAACTCGAAGCCAGCATAGGCTCTTGCGACGCTCTCGGGGAGAGCACCTGCCAAAACGTTTCGAGGGAATCGGGTAGTAGGGGTCCAGAAATAATAGTAATAATCTTTCAAATCCTCCCCTGCCATCACCAACTCCTCTCCAGGCTCCAGGCTCAAAGAAAGCAACGATGGAGCCGCTGCAAGTGTCCGTATCCAACGTCCCGTAGCTGCCTCTAGGAGATTGGGACATCTCGCATCTAAAATCAATCTGTCTCGCGACTGGTCTTTGATGATTGCAAAAAGGCCATTGGTGAAGCGGTAATCAACGCAAGCAGCAGGCACAAAGCGCAATCGGTCTGTACTGTCCAACATGGCTAAAACTTTGAGACGCTCAGCACGAGAGGCCTTGAACTTCGGCTTGGGCAGCGGCTCCTGCAAGGTGTCGGGGCTCGCCATCCAGGCACTCGGGTCAAGGTAGTGCGAGCGGGCCTCCGGGTCCAAGTGAGGCGAAGGATCGAAAGTGGGCCGGCCTGACAAGGCGAGCCGATGACTCTCAAGGTTCTTGGCCACAGTCTCGGCATCCGCCCCAAAACGAAGACAATCAGCAAACTCTGCAGCAGGATCACTCAAGTAGAAATTTGCGTCCCCGAAGTCCGGCGCCTTGCCTAGCCCAAGCTCCCCATCACGAGGGGCGGTCCCACTTAAAGGCCGCCTTGAAGAAGAAGAGCGCGGTGAAGAGCCTGAGCCAGGTTGGGGCCGGTTGTGGTTGTAATGCATCTCGTCGGGGGCCCCTAGGTAGTGCTTGCACATGCTGCTAAGGGCAAAGGTGATCTGCACAAGCCGCGCCAGCTGCTTTTCGACTGCCTCGACCTTCGCCGCAGCTCGGCCCATGTCAGCCGGGCCCACCTCTGTATGGCGGGCCAAAACTCGGGTGGCTCTTTCCAAACGACGAACTGCTCCACGTTGCTCCCCCGACAAAGGTCGCCCCAAACTCAGTTCAGCAGGCGCCGCCGTAGGCTGCCCCAAAGACAGCCAGGACAGCGCAGCCACCGCCAGGTTCACGGCATGCCGCTCCGCCAGGCGGGTCGGTGGAGTTCGCCGCCGAGCGCTCCTCATGTAGACGCCCGGATAAGGCAAAGGCATAGGAAAAAGCCCCCCGGTAGCGGGGCATCCCCGCTCAGGCTTCTCAGTCACCAGGCAGTGAAAAAATCTCGCAAAAGGGGTGCGCAGCCGAAGCAGCCACCGTGGTATAGCAGCCCACAAAGAAGACGGGAGCACAGGCTTCGCTGAGGATCCCGGCACGTGGGGGGGAGATTCCCCTGCGCTAACAAATTCCGAGGGCACTCCATGCCCACCGTGGCCCGAAGGCCCCATCATGCTTGCTCCCCTCGGGCCGCAGCGCCCTTCGCTTTGGCCTTCGGTCTGCCTTTGCCGCCCTTGTCCTCCGTGGTGTCCCGGTTGTCCTCTGTGTCGTCCGAGGGGCACGGTGGGCCCGGGGCGGCGGGTGCCCAACTTCTTCCTCCTCTCCAAGTACTCGTCGACCTCCTTCACCTGGTAGACCAGCAGCTCCACCGTCCTGGCATCGAGCAAGCGAGTGAAAGGTTGCTCGCTCCCCGACAGTATCTGCCTTCCATGGAAGCTGCTCAGAGGAGCAGGCTCCTCCAACAGCATCGGCTCGGCCAGTGTCCAGCTGCCTCTGTCCAGACTCAGCTGCTCCACTGCAGCCAGCCCCACCAGAGACCGTGCGAGGCCCTCGTCGTAGTTGCCGCGGCTCAGAGCATCCACCACCCCTGCTAAAATCCAAGCAAAACGGACCGTCGAAGGATAAAGGTGCTGAATGCGAGCCCGGCTTTCGACCCAAGCCCTGGCTGTCACAGGAACACGGTCTCCTCCAGGAAGCGCCCTTGCCAACCCAAAGTCGGCGGCCATGCGCTCCAGCATGCCGTCGGCCAGCTCGCGGGGGTGATCCTGAAGAGCACGCTTCAGCACACGAAGGGCCGCCGAGTTCCTCCGCGAGGTGCTTGCTGAGCCAGAAGCGTCGGTAGAGCCCCCGGCCTCCAGCAGCCCCTCCAAGGTAGAGGCCTTGCGTCGCCCAGCCGTCAGGCTCTCTGCGATCGCGGTCAACTTCTCGATGGCGGCTGTCATCCGGTCGCCCTCCTGAAGCTGAGCCTCGTCGGCAGTCTCCTCCTCCGGCTCGTCGTCGGTCTGGTCCAAAGCCGCCAAGGAAGCAGACGGGGCCCAAAGTGTTTTGGCTGGTGCCGGAGGGTCCTTCAGGGTGCCCTGGACAACTCGCGCCATCTCCTGCAAGTGGCTGTCTGGAACTCCAGCCGCGCGGGCCGCCTGAACAACCGCCGGGTCGAGGCCTCCAAGTTCTCGTGAAGGAGGTGGGGCTTTGCCTCGAGAAGTTGGCCGCAGCGCCGACGGTCGAGAAGTCGCCGGCTGCTGTTGGTTGGCACCCTCCGCTGGTCCTCCGCCGAGCTTCGCCAGGATGTCCTTGACGCCCTGCTGCACTTGGCCCATGTCTCGCTCGAGGTCGGCCACCCTTGTAGCCCATCCCGGCTCGCTCCTGCTTCCGAAGGCAGGTCGAGCAGAGTGCTCCGGAGAGTCGCCCTCAGCGGCTGTCTGGTAAGTGATCCTGTCCCCGGCCGCCTCAATGAGATCCTCTGCAAAGGGCACGCAGTCTATCTGCTCGCCCTCTCCAAAGCTGTAGCCCAGATCCAGGTCCTCCTCGCCGACAGCCACAAAGTCCAGGAGCTGAGCCCAGGCCGTTCGCAGCCCGGCCACCCAAACACGACAAGTAGCCTCCAAGGCCTGCTCTCTCGCCTCAGGGGCTGCCAGCCGCACCGAAAAAGCCCGAGGCGACTTCAAACTCGCCGTCGGCACGCGGCGGCGAGAAGCGGTGCGATGCCAAGCTCCACCCGGCAATGCCACCACCAACTCACCGTCAGCGTCTTCGCCGATAACCGCCAATGCCACCCAAGGAGCTCCTTCCACAGCTTTAGGTCTTACCGCCACCAAGCCGTAGTCGAAGATCGGACCTTCTTCCTTAGCCAAGGCGAAGCAGCCAAGGTCCTGAGCCGCCGCCTCGCCCAAAACGCTGCTCTCAGCGGCCATCCTCCGGCCAGGTCAGGCCGGCTGCAGCAACCGCGCGTCGGGCCTCCCACTGGCTCGGGAAGCCAACGAAGATGCTCTCACCAAACTGCTTTCCACTGGGTATCCCGCCAGGTAGAAAAGACCCGCACCGGGTCGTAGATGTTCTCCTTGACGTCCCGCACGACAACGTAGATCCGGTTGGGGAGGTCGACCTTCTCCCGGCCGCTGTTGCCCCGATTTCCCCCGCTCAAGCAGCGGCGAATATAAGCCCCAATCTCGTCAGCCACCTGCCCACGAAACTTTTCCGCAGGGTGCACCGCCGAGCCAGCAGAAGCCGAAGAAGAGGAAGGTCTTGTACGCTCTGCCGGGCGGCAGGTAGAGGAAGTCGCCGAAGTTGGCAAGGCCGCCTCTCGAGGCGGGGTAGCGGGGCGGCTTTCACTGACCAGCTCGAAGCCCTCACCTTCCAGCCGCTCCACCCGCACCTTCAGCACCTTATTCTCAAGCTCCAGGAGCTCAACTCGGGCAGTAAGGGCACGAATATGAGCCTCCAACGTGTCAATGCCAGTTTGGCTCATGCACAGCGGAACCTCGTCAACGAGAGAGTCGCCAGTCGGTTCCTGAGGGCCACTGCTAAGTGCTGCCTGGCCAAATAGAGCAAATCCAGAAGGGACCCGACAGCAATGCCCACAAGGACCCCCACAGCCAAGCCCAAGTAGAAGTCGGCCCGCGGCTCGTCGCGGAAAGCAGGGCTCGGACACACGAACTGTTCTGAAGTGTCCCTGACGTGCCCCAAAAGAAGAGTCAAAAGGGCACTGCTCAAACCCCCGGCACCGGCTCCTACGCCTACCGCTAGGGGGCCCTGATTCATAAGCCAACAAACTGCGGAGCTGAAGTTCACATCGCCCTCATGCATGTACATTAAACAGCAGCGATGCATGAGGAGATCCAGACCAACCATGCTTTTTGTGATCATATTAGCCAAGATTCTCGAATGGCCTGGGCTCGTTTACAACACTGTCACTGGCAATACTGGCACACTACCGGTTGGCGGACTGGCTGACTGCACATTGACAACTGAGGAAGGCCAGGGAAGCCAAAGCGCCCTTCGACGAGGATGCGGCCAGGTTTGCCAAAAAGACACCTGGCACTCTCGACCACTTGGGCTACGAGGAAGACTCGGCAATGAGGAAGCCCATTGCCTGCCGGAGAGGCCAGCGGTCTTGGCAACCTCAGCTGCGGAAGGACTCCACTGCGACCCGGCGGCTGCGGCCGACTGCGGCCTGGAGGATGAACTTCTGTTTCCATGGCGCGGTGATGTGGTGCATGTACCTCCCGGCTGAGAGGCCCTCAACACGACTACCAGACGCCCTGACTGCGACTGTCCTCTCTAAGTCTGTTGGCGCGCATAGATGCTCGACCCAGTTGTCCGCCAGCGGCCGCAGTTGTGCGCAGCTCCTGCCAGCCTTCACTGCCAGAATCTTTCGAGCGGCTGAGCTGAGCACCAACACAGATTGATCTACTACTATGGCACGAAGCCCATATACGGCCTCGATTTGTCCGACCAGTGTTTCTCGCAGAGGCTTCGTCCTCCTCTTCCTCCTCCTCCACATCCTTAATGCAAGAAGAAAAAGGCACTCGATGCCACCTGCTGGCTTCCTACCTGCAGGTACAACAAGTAGTGCCCTGACTTCACCCATCGTCATCCCACTCGGAAGTGGCGAGATGCAAAAACAGTGGTGGACTGTAGTGAACTGAAAAGGCCAAAAGGGTTTGAGAGCGCTGATGTTTCAGACAGCGCATCACGGCTGCAAAAGCTCCAGGTGGAAAGATGCACTTGACTTGCAAGGCGAACGTATAAGGCGGAGATAGGCGGCATATGTTGGAGCGTGGATCCCATCTGTCCCTGAGAAATACAAATCCAGTTGCTCTAGGTCCCGATTGCCGCCGTCAAGGACTACTGTAATCGCTGCCAAGCCTCCCACTTCACACGTGCATCGCGTCGCTGGCGCACGTCGCTGAGCTTGCGGCCCTCATCTACCTCACGAGACATTTCGCCAGATCTCACCCCGAGCAGCCAGCACCTTGCGAAATTGTCCTGTGGCCTTCTCCGTCTCCTCCACATGAACATTGCCAGGCAGTTGAGACTCCACGTCTGGAGTTGGCTCCATGGGCTCCTTGCTCGGCCAGTGAGCGGCCCCCAAGGGAGCTTTGCTGAAGCCATGCGTTGGAGTTTGCGCTCCGTCCTCCACCTCGGGGTCTTCCGAAGCCCATGCCAGCTCTAGGGCCGTGCCCACCGCACGCTCACGGTCCTCTCTGGCAGAACGGTCCATCTTCCTGCTGGGATGCCACGTCATGTGCGGATACGAGGAGTAGCAAAAGCAAGACTTGAGACAGTTGGGACAGAGGCTTCTATGTCAAAGAGGTGCAGGTAAGCACGATCTGCTTGAAACAAGGTTGAGTAGGCAGCAATCACGGCCTTATGCAAACTCAAGTCTTTCTGAGTTCGACCCTGCAGCCTCAGATTTTGTCACGTCGCCTCGAACCTTAATGTTCGGAATCTGTCGACCCCGTGCCCGTGAAGGTGAAAGTTCAGACTCATCCTGTTGACCGAGGCTTTCCGGGCCTGAAGCGCTGCCTGGCCGTGTCCTCCGCAAGAGGGGACGGGGCACAGCCAGCCCAAATGCTCCGGGTCTGAAAGAGCAGAGACATGCTGACGAGCTTTCACTCAGCCCTTGAGCTCCTGTGGCACAGAAAAGACGATTTCAACAGGTCCTGGTCCAGGGGCAGCTGCAGGATTAGCTGCCGTGCACTTTGATGTGCCCGGGTAGCGCTGAGGCTTCGAATCGAGGGTTTCCTTAGCTTGCAAGCGGGTGCGGAGGTCGCACATGAAGCTAATTGTCAGTTGCTGCCAGCATGTTCAATCTGTGTTGCTACACGCAGAGTAGTTCTCATGTAGGTCCTCAACCCAGTCGGATGTCCAAAGCAGCTTGATCTGTTTCATCAACAGGCTTGATCGCATGCGAAGATCTTGGTCCAAGATTCCACTGCCTTCCGCAGTCGAAAGCCTCAGTTCTTGGCCAAACGCTCTCATGACTTCTCTCGTGGGAAGTTGCCAGAGCCCTGATACCGAGTCCAATGATAAATCATCAACTTCATATCTCCAGAGCATGCTGAAGATTTGAGGCGGCCACCTGGAGAAGGTTCACCTCGCTTGGAGCTCAGATTGGGGTGGGCCCTCGAGCAAGTAGGGCACACTCGGTCTGGGCCGAGTGTGCCAACATAGCGAGAGAGAGAGAGAGAGA